ATCCGGTAAAGCGAATGTTTAGAGGCCTTGGGCGTAAAATACGCTCAACCTATTGACAAACTTTAAATGGGTATGAAGTTCATTTTTCTACTTCATTGAGAATGAACAGCGAATGTGAGTGTTGCGGTTGATGGGTATTACTGTGTCGATTGTTGTCATCTTAGTTATGTCTGAATATGGCGCCAGTTCATATATATCCATCTGGGTATCTGAAGATATAACACCTGCCGTGAGCTGTTCGGTCCACTGCTCGGAGAGATTAGATCGTGAGGGTGCTTCCGCCCAATCAATATGAACGGTTACGCTGCCCCGAATAGGCGCACTATCTAGTTGTTTTCATCCCGGCTTGATCGCTGCTAATGTACCTACATTAAGTATGCGGTGAATAGCACATGCACGGCATGTGGAGCGATCACATCCCTGTCTCCGATCTCTCAGACATCTGAAGACGGAGCATCGATTCCTGGTCAGCATCCTCACTATTCACTAACATAGATACATCTATTAAACTTTTGTAGAACATCGCAGATTATAGATTAGGCACTATGACAGACTAGATATAGTATCCTAGCCAAAGTCCTCGCTTTCGTATCGGTCTTGCTAACCTATACGTCAAAGTCTGCTCTGCACTTCCGACTAAAAGAAATTATAACCCTGCCTATGGTCATAATGGGCGCGTGCAGTCAGAGTTGGACAAAGCTCAGATTGATGTTCACAATGGAACCAATCAGAATACTCAGACTCCCAAGTATATCATAGAATATCCAATAAGGGAGTCGAGTTGTGTCGTTTGTCACGTACATCTGTCCGGTTTCAACTTAGAAATCCGAGAACATGTGATAAATGTGCATAATATAGTGGTCTTGAAGTACAATTGTAGCAATTGTAAGGAAAAGGAGTACGAAAACATTAACAGCATTAGGGCCCACTATACTGCATGTAAAAGAAAGATCTTGCACAATAACACGGATCCTACCACAACGAGTAGTGATTCTACCATAAAGAAAGCTACTACTGATATATCGAATAAGAATAATAGTAGTAGTAGCGAAAGTGATAACGAGTCTCAAATTAATCCACTTCAATGTGGTGAATGTTTGAAGGCACACATCACGTTGCTCGCAAAATCAAGCAAAGATCTCGTAACTCATATGCGCACGAAACACGGCGAAGCATATGAGAAATCGAAAAAAGTTGCTATGAAGAGGATAGCATGGACTACCGATGAGGACCTTGTGTTGGCTAAGCTTGAAATAAAGCTTAAAGCTACACAGAAGGGTCAGATACTTGAACGTCTAACAATGGAATATAATAAAATAGCTTCTAGATCAAATTCGCATATTCGATCCAAGGAAGCTATTCGTGGTAGACGTCAACAGAAAGAATATAAAGTAGCCATGGAAAAGATGCTATCTGAAGACCGGACTGATCTAGACACTGAGTCAGACGATGATAGTAAAAGTAACAGTAGTTATAATGACGCTTCATCAGATGACTCGGATGCTAGCGATGCAACCACAAACATACTGGATGACAACATTCAAGCGATAAGAAGGTTTGTTGAAGACAAATTAGTAACAACTAAAATTCAACTTACCCCCAGTATGCATGCAGCAGTTGATGCCTTTGTTAATATGAATAGTACAGTTGACATGTTAGAGTTGTCAATGGCTGGGATACGTGAGGCTATAAGTAATCTGCGTCTAAAGAATGCTCATAGAGGTACTAGAGCAATAAGAACAAATAATTCGGTTAATGGCAAACCTATTCGAAATGCTAAGCGTTACGAGAAAGCTCGAAAGTTAGGCTATTACCAAAGATTGTTCTACCAAAATAAGGAGAAACTTGTTGCTGAGTTAATAGATGGTGTACAACCTAATGTTGAACCACCGCCTATTGACGTCGCAGTGGAACACTATGAGAAGATTTGGTCGAAAAAGTTCGTCGATTCAGCAATTTTTGAGCCCAAAACATCGGTGGATGGCGCTATATTACTTGCGCCTATAACCATAGATGAAATCAACTGGGCAATAAAAAATACGAAAAAGACATCGGCTACAGGACTTGATCAAATTACATTATTGGAGGCTAAAGCAATTGCTACTACGCAGTTGTTGGCGGCCTTCAATATCTGGTTAGGCCTCCAAAGAATTCCATTGGAGGTCAAGCAAAATAAGACAGTTCTTATTCCAAAAGGTACTACTTGTTTGGATGATATTAAGAACTGGAGACCGATTACGATAGCGTCTATGATCCTACGTCTGTATAACAAGGTAATAGGCTATCGAATGAATAAAGTGTTTAAGACGAGTGATAAACAGGCTGGCTTCAAGCCTGTGAATGGTTGTGGTATAAATGTCGCTTGGCTCCACTCCATTCTCAAACACGCTCGAATGACTAAAACCACACTTTACACATGCCTACTGGACGTGTCAAAAGCATTTGATTCAGTTTCACATGACTCTATCATCAGGGCATTGAAACGAAATGGTGCGCCAACTGAATTTATTCGGTTAATCGCAGATCAGTATAAGGATGTCTCGACTACGATTAAGTATAAAGACATTTCTTCGAAACAGATTGTCATACTGTGTGGTGTGAAACAAGGAGATCCGTTATCTAGCATATTGTTCAACTTGGTTATAGATGAGCTTTTCGAAGTTCTCGGTGATCAGTATGGATATGCGGTAGAAGGTATTGGGAAATCGAATGCCAGGTGCTTTGCCGATGACCTCGCACTAGCTTCATCATCTAAGCTAGGAATGGGAGAGTTATTGTCCAAGACAATAACGTTTCTAGAAGCACGTGGCTTAGCTATTAACCCAGCTAAATCTATCTCACTCGGTCTGGTTAAGGGATATAAGGGCAAGAAAAGTAAGATAGAAACTGAACCCGCTTTCTCAATAAACGGTGTTCAAATACCAATGTTGGGTTATATAAATAATACTACTCGATACCTTGGGATCCAATTCACATCATTAGGTGCAATAGGATCTGGACTCATTAAGACTCAAATTAATGAAGTGCTGGACAAACTTGTGAAGGTGAAACTTAAAGCTCAGTGTAAAATTGAGCTTTTACGAACACATATAATTCCGAAATTTATATTTAAACTTATAAATACAGAATTATATCCTACCATGATCCGTCACGTCGATATAGCAGTTCGACAAGTTATACGAAAAATATTGCATCTATCAGCCGGTTTGAGCAATGAATTCTTCCACCTACCTGCAAAGGAAGGTGGCTTGGAATTCCCTGTTTTACAAGAACTAGTTGGTCTAGCTAAAGTCAAATTATATCGGAATATAGCACTTCAAAACGATGTTTTCTTACGAAACATTGTAGAAATGCAAGGTAGTGGAATGAATGAAAGATATTTGAATCACTTGAAGCTAGGGGGGCAACCAACAGCCGATGACTTACGATCTCGAAAAGATTGTCTATTGAAGGAGAAGCGTACCGCATACATTCAAAAAGTTCATAGTACAGGACATGAAGTCTTCTCAACATGTGCTCTCACGAACACATGGTTGTTGAACGGTCAAAAATCTATGAAAACTAGAATGTATATCAATGCGATAAAATTAAGAACGAATTCCTATGAAACACGAGTCACGACCACCAGAGGACTCGATGTTGATAAAACGTGCAGAAGGTGTCACCGAGCTGACGAAAGTCTGATGCACGTCCTACAATGCTGCGAAAGTACCAAAGGCCCTCGTTATACTCGTCATCATCATGTGTGCTCAAGGGTAACTATGAAACTGGCGGAGGCTGGATATACGGTTTATACCGAGAAGAGTCTTCCTGATCCTAACAACACCGGGCACTTACTGCGTCCCGATATAATTGCTGTTAGGGCAGGTCAGGCAATTGTTCTTGATGTTTCTTGTGTATATGAAACGTCCGGGGCAGCTTTTCTGAATGCTTACAATAGAAAAGTTCAAAAGTATAAACCGCTTATACCGGCAAAAAAAGAAAAGTATGACTGTGGTCAGGTGGAAGTGCACGGACTCATCATTGGTTCGCGTGGCTCATATCGACCAACACCTTTTATGGTATCTGATGAGCGAGACCATCTGGCTCTTTATCTTGACGTTTTGTGCATCCAACAGCGCCAGTTCTGCTTACCAAAAATGGCCCACNGCTTCACGGCAAATGATCTGAAATTTTTGGCCATCTACTGCATGGAAAACTCGGTTAGGGTGGCTGCATTTTTTGGTCAATCAATCAGATCATCATGGACTTAGAACAGCATTTCCTCGTAAGGTAGTTAAGGCCCTCTTACTATTTTTAATCTTCCTAATTGTAACATAATCATTGCTATCAATCCTCAACAGATTGACATTGGCATGTATCTATAATGACAGCGTATGCTCGATTTCTCGCTGCTACATGTTCAATCTTTTGTTGGCTGACTACCAACGATTATGCAGTATGAGTTGAAT